GAGGGCACATCAACTTAAGTTTGGTTTTATGGTATGAAGACTCAAACACTGGTCCCCAAACCGAAATTAAATCTGTAAGGAAGTCATAACCTCTGAGGCCCAGGACTGACTAATGCAATAGCCCTGTGTAATTTGCATCATTTTTGTGTAATAATGCAAATTATATCTGCACCAGGAATGGGAAGACATCCAACCAACTATCCCAGAGTAGCTTGCACAATAGGTAGTTTTTATCATGCCTAGCTAGGCAGAAGAGACGCAGGTAATAACAGTCTGTATGCCTTTAATAAACTATTGTTTTGGGAAGACAGCAGAGAGATGAAACCCAAACAAGTAAAATTTGCACTGGATTGGGTGGTTACCTCATTTTATGGATTTGTGTCACTCGTCCTGGTTATCTTCTGATTATGCTACTATAAACCCTTCAGGCCTGAGCACATCCCAGTAAGGCTAGAATAGAAATGATGATCACTGGGCACGTCTAAATGAGCCGCTTGCATAACCAAGTACTAAATGACTGAACAGTAGCTGGCGTTACTGTGCAGTAGTGTCCCGGCACGGTTGCTTAGTGACGCTTACTGCACAGTAGCTCATTATTACTGCACAGTAAGTGTCACTAGGCAACCATGCTGGGATGCTACTGTGCGGTGACACCAGTTACCATGTAAAGAGCTACTGCACAGTAAGCTACTGCACAGTAAGCGTCTTGTGTAGATGCAGCCACTGAGTACTAGAGGAGTAGTTTTGTTTATTATTTTCAGAGTCCAGTCCTATCTGCAGTGTATTGGATATTGTTTTGCATCACTGGTTGTTAGAGCAGGGATATTTGTCTTTTGTACATGATAGCTGGCAAATGTTGACATTTGAGTAGGAACTGAGCCTGTGGGAGTCTACATTGGGCCACTAAGAGTTACCTGCTCAATAGACCTTTTTCCTGTCTCCTTCCTCCCAAGGCTATTTAATCTTCTACCTCTATTCCCTCATCCTCTTGACTTGTCACACCCACTACACCATCCTCTTGATCCATTCAGTTGGACTGTTCTGTGGTCTGGCATGCCGTCATCTAAGATGTACCAAATCCTAGTCTTCCATGTTCAGATATCTGATGCACCCTGGCTTAGTTTTGCATACTCATGGGCTTAACTGAGACCTAACATCCCAGAGCCCAGAGGTCAGGCCCATCCTTAAGGCCTTGCCTACACAGAATAGATGTACTACTTTAATATGCCAGAGTAGTTCAGGTAATATTACTTTTCCTACAATAGATATGTTTACACTGGAATAGCATAACCTCACACAAGAAAGGGAATAAACAATGGTCACATTCAGACATGTATATCCTCATGGGATCTACTTAATAGATTGTACCAGTGTAACTGTATTCGTAAAAATCACACTGCTACCTGACTTAGTTATACCAGCACTAAATATGGGCGGACCAGATCAAATAAGTAAGGTTACTTCAAGGAATAAGTGAATGGCATGCGTTGGTGGGCTACAGATTAGAATAGGTCAAACAATTTCAAAGCAGAAGGGGTTTTTTTTGCAAAAAATCCATTCAGTTTTTGTATCAGCTCCATAACAAATGGAATAGCTTCTGCAAGCCTTCTACAACTATGTTGCTTGCTTTCCAGCTGCCAGTTGTCCACCTCGGAGGCAGAGGGCACAGGCAGCACTGCAGCTGCAACACACACATGGTTTTTTACATCTGCTATATCAGAGAAAATCTTATCAGTTGTCTCATCAGTTTTAAACTGGAACACATTTCCAAATGAATGACAGTGACAGTCAGATATGTCTGTACAAGAAAGTATGAGGTTGTTGTCCAGATTTTAGAGAAAAAAGCAAACTGGATAATGTTGGGCCCTGTATTGTTTTTTTGGTATGTGTTGAAGGTAGAAATTAATGATTCTTGATGGACATTATACTATTAAAGGTGATGCAAAGCTGGCATGGTGTGTTGAAGATTTTTGCCTTGAACTGGGGGTGCCAAAGATACAGCCCACAGGCCAGATCCAACCTGTGGAGCCACATCAGTACTAGCCCTCAGAACTCAGTACTAGCTCTGTTTGAGGCCAGTCTAGCACCCCTCCTCCCCTCATCTTGCCTGATCCAGTGCCTGTGGACAAGCCAGAGCAGGCACTGTGGGTGCTAGATCTGGCATGTGGTGGGGAGGGGCTCCATGGATGCCCCACATGCTGGATCCAGTTCCTGCTTTGGACCAGCCAGTTAAACACCACTGGATCTGGCATATGGAATGGAGGGTCTTTGGGGCCTGTGGGCCTGATCTGCCCCAAAAGGGTGGCCCCACACCATTCACCTGGCCCATGGACCAGTCCCAGGCCACACATCTGGCCTGCAGGGCCAGATGAGTTTGACACTCTGCCTTAAGTTGTTCTTTTCACACTTTCAAGATTTGGAGAGTATGGGTCATATCATAATGCTACCTTGACTATATATATATATGTATATATATACATATCTATCTATCTATTTATCTATCTATCTAGAGAGAGAGATTGTCAAATTCAGCACTAATTACAAGGCTGAATTTGGCTAATTTGGAAACGGTCCATGGATCCCTCTGGGTATGTTTTCACTGCAGAAGTAACTTGAACTATCTACACTTGAACTGCATCTCTCAAATTAGTCTAGCTCAGATTATGTGCATTTACCTCTGCATTGCACAAACACTTCTGCAGGCAGAATCCTAGTTGCCTGGATGGGGCATGAGTTAGGGGCAATGCTTGAGCTATAACTCAAGTCAATTTTGTAGTAGAGACAAGCCCTTGGGTTAAGAGGAAAGTTTTCATCTAATGGAAAGTTATGATTTATTATTGGAGAAATCTCTAGCATGCAAAAGATTTTAATGGAGGAACCAGAGCAATTTCTAAAAGTCCTCAGAAGGGATCATCATGGAAAGTCTTTTGCTGTACTTTTAATTTTTATGTTATTGGTTCCTTAAGTGTTTGAGAGATGCCGCTAGGGTGATACGTAGGCACAGCAGACTAATGATGTGAGAACGAAACCCTCTAGGAAGTGGAGGAGGACATATTGGCTGTAACTCCATAGGTTTGTTACAGTATTGCACCGATATGCATCTGCAGCACAGCTTGAGTGAAATGGATCCATAGATGAGTGCGGAGAGGAAGTCAGGGGCCTAGTTCTGACATCCGATATGCATCAGGCAGCAGGCATTTCTGATGATTTTGCACATGATGATTCTGCATGATGAGGGGGTCTAGGGAGCGAGTTCTGAACATCTCAGCAGCATTATACAAAATACTTTTGACAGTAGGATAAATCCAGCTGAATAAAAAGGACATTGTCATTGTGTCAGAAAATGTAATCATTTGGGTGCTTTCTTCACGTATTCTGGCATTAACCAGCTGATACCCAAACTTCTTGAGGCATCTGATGTTATCGCTGCTGTAGCTCTGAAAGTTTGTGCACATTCTTTGTTGGCATAAGGAGCTCCAAACAAGTCCCTCTTGTGCTTTTCCACAGAGAAATCTTAATGCAAATCAGACCTGGTCTTGAGATAGAAATAAACTTTATTTCAGTCTGTGGCACACATAGGCTAACACTACCATGAGTGGGAGGAGGAGGTGTCAGGGCCCTGTTACAGTTTTTTTCTCCTCCCCTCTGTTTCACTTCATTCCTGCACATACCAGTGAGCACTTTGGCAGTTGAGGATATTTGTCTTATTTTTCTCACCCTTCACAAAAGCTGTCCTCTGCTTAACATGCACATTCTTTTCTTCAGAACTGTTTTCCTCCTCCATAGGCTTCTGCAGCTGGCTGAATGCCAAACAGTAGGGTTAGCTCCATGAAAAAGCTTCAGTCATAGACAGGCTGTCTTACAATTTCTTTCTTGTATTCAAAATGCAGATGGATGTTATTACAAAGATTTTTATTTAGAGAATGCACAGATTGTCTACAAGACTGAGATTAATACTTGGGACTTATATGTGTTTTAAATCCTTAGATTCTTTACAAACATTAAACAGAACCCTTGTGAAATGAATGTGTCTAAGGGCATTTTATTATACTAATTTTAAAGACAGGCATTGAATGACTTATCCGAGGACACCTCACACAGCAAGTTGTGATCAGGGTTCTTGGCAACCCACTATCAATCTTATATCATAACTTGCTGTCAAAAATTGGTAGCACTTCACCTTTCCAGAACATTTTTCCACGTGAAAAGATTTTTCATGTGATTTCTGCCCTAAAAATGAAAATGCATTCCAGGTTAGAGCTATCCAGAATAAATGTCAGGCATTTCTAAAACTCAGAGGGCCAAACCTTCTGCTTCACAAGATGGAAAATCTGAACCCTTTGTGCCAGTGTGGGGAGTAGGGGAAGTAGAAAGAGAATCTACCTGCTTGAATGATAGGCTACATTGAGAGAACAGTTTGTCTACACATCAACATGTTGCTGTTTTAATCATACCAGTAGATTTAAAGTGACAAAGAAACCTCTGGTGTGAACTTGGGTATTTCAGTATAAAGTATTTATATAGTTTACTCTGGTCACGAAGCAGAAATAAGACATACTCGTGTAAGGCACTCTGTTCAAAGTAGAGCTTTTATGGATATACCTATTTCACCAAAAGATCATACTATTGACTGGCATGGTTTTGCTGATAAAAGTTTTATGTACAGAGCTACACACAACACTAACTGGGGCAGGGGCTATTCTGTGAAGTACTGTTTCTAAGTCAGGTCTTCGAGCCAATGGAAGATATTTATTAATCAGTTTTAAGGCTCTTTGTATTTACCCTTGGCCATCTCTTAAAGAAAGCAGGAGTCCACAGCTGGTTGCATGTACAAATAAGTGGAGAAAACTGCGTTAGAGACTAGGTATAGTGGCCTTGGGTTAGCAAACCTTCTTAGCATGGAGGTGAACATGAATGTGGCAGTAGTGAATGACTGATGAGAATATCACAATAGGGACTTGCTTTTCTGACATGCAAATTCTTTCTTTTTTTCTCTACAGTGAAGCTGGAAATGCCTTATCTAATTCAGTTTCTGAGAAGAGCAAGTTGAGATATTGTCAGCAAATCATTTCTTTTCATTCCATTTCCCCCTGTTTTTATTAAACTTTCTTTTTGTTAAGATTACTATTGTATGGGTTATTTCATGAAGACCATTCAAGAAGAAGAGAAACCTAAGTGCGGAAGATTAACGAATCTCCAGAACCTATACCCTACCCAACAGCTTGGAATGGACCCATGTTATGCCCCATACATTTTGATTGCTTCTCCTTTGTCACTTGGGGAAGCAAACATGACTGCTAGCTTTTAATTTGGAGAAAAGGGAAGTGTCAGTATTTGATCTGTTTGACTTTCATTATGCACAGTCACAGATAGAATGGAAATGATGAGCAGACAAGTTCATAAAAATGATCGTATGGGAAATTACAGCTGGAACAAGTTATCACATCTCTATGGATCCCACATCTACAGTCTTACTTTATAAGAGCATAAAAATGTGAATCAGGGCCAATGAAACAGTTTTTGTTGCTTAGTCCTTTAAGAAAATACAAGACCCTGGAAAATACTGTAGCATTTCTTGAAAGTTTAAGAATAAATATCTTGAATAGCAAGTTGGTCTAACTTTCTTTTGTTCTACCTAGAGCCACAAAATTATCAAAGGGTTGGGCGATAAAGTAATTTACTGTATGCTTATTACAAAATCATGATGTGTTTGGCCAACTTCATCTTAAAGCTATTTTAAAATTGATTCTGCATTTATACTTCTTTCAAAATGCATGAAATAGAATGGCAAATCTTTCCGAGGACTTTGAAATTAATCAAGGAAGCGTTTGAACTAGCCTTTCTGAGGTACTATCAAATCTTCTCCACCCCAACCCCCCACAACATAAATCCCCTCAGTGATTTTCCCCCTAATCATTGTCGGAGGCATTGAGATTGTAACCCCCATGAGATGAACTGGGATTCCATTCCCAGGACTCGCCAATATTCTAAAATCCATGTGGGCCCCAAGGAACCACAAAGGAACATGCTTCCCATTTGGATTCAGCAGAGGAATTGTTGGGTTTGAAAACAACACATCAAGCAATTGTTTGAAAGGGCTCTCTTTTGCATCTTTCAAAATAGGATAGATGTGCTGATGCATACTTTAATTAATTGCTTTTACCTTACATAGCAGCATTGACTAATGGTCTGACCTCAGACTTGAAAGATATAGGGATAGCTTTCCTTCTACATCTTTTTAAAAAAGAAGACATTAATACTGATTTGATTTAAAAAATTCATTTCAAGGTTATACACATTTTAAATATGCATTTTCAAAAACTAATGCATTTTTTACAGTTTTTTTCTTTTTGTTTTGTTTCTTTTTTCTTTTTAAAGGATCTTTCATATTTGGTATACATAGCATAAGCAAGTTCTTAGCTTCTCATCCTGGAAAACTAGGTTTGGTCAGGAGAAAATACTGTTACAGCTAATTTAAACAGAACCTGGGGTGAGGGTGACATATTTTTTTAGGAAGCTACAAAGCATACATTTATGCATTAAAACAACTTGTGTGCAGATTTAATAGCCGACTTTCAACCTAGGCATGAACAAGATGGAATAATAGGTTACATAGGCAGGAACTTGAACCATATGCTTATATGTATCTATATAACTTTATACCATGTACAAGGCTGGGCACTAAAATGGGCCCTAAAACATTGGTTTGCAACTCAGGATAGGATTTCCATAGTGCAAGAACTGAAGGGGAAAAAAATCACCTTTTTGGTGTGAGGCGCTGGTGCAGTGATGAAGTTCTTGCCTCAGATCTCTTTTGCTGTTCCTCTCAACTCTATTTCTGTATTCTGTGGCAATATAAAGTATTGAGATCAAATTCTAAATTATTCATGTAAATGGAATGAAATTATACAGCTCTTTAACTTTCAACCTGGGAGTCTTTCATTTTGAAGCCTGTACATTGCTAACAAGTTGCAGATGTACACATCACATGAACAGGAGCAAGCTGGTGTTTTTTGTTCATTATTCATTCATACTGAGGTGAACTTGGGCATATGTTATATAGGTCTCCTTTAGTCGGAGTTTAAAACAGATGATCTTATTTAACTCAAACCATACCAGGAGTACAATCGTATTCCCTTTGAAATACTTGGAAAAAGTCCCAGTAATTCTAATAGGGTTAGACTCTAGATAGAGACAGAGAATTTGGGATGGTGTAAATTAACATGGCTCCATTGTCTTCAGTAGATTTACAGATGAGGGTGAGGATCAGGTTATACTCATACTCAGAAATTTAGGAAATATTTTCCTACAGCCATTATGTAGCTTGAGAATCTCTTTTCTCCACTTCCATGTTAATTGTTTGTTGTTGCAAAAAACAAGGAGAACAAATGTGACCGTTCCACCAGTGGTGGACACCCTGGATTATTTCAAGACCTTCTTATACCCAAGGATTTAATATGTTCCTTTGGTAGTTTCCTCATACTAGCTGGATATGTGGGTGAGAAATGGAGCCTAGCACAGGAATTCGGGTTTCCTTCATAGTCATGTAGAGTACTATCATACTGTCATAGTATGGAGTACTATCATACAGTCAACCTGTTTATGATTTTATCCAAAATCACCAAACAGCACTAGCTCTCTCACTAATGGTCTGTGCTGGCTGGCTAGTCCCCTAGTAGTAACTTTCTTCCTTAGTTTCCCGTTGCAAAATCACATTAAACATGAGTTAAAATACAGGGATTTTTTTTTCTAATATTTGTCCATTTTATGTGATCACAAAGAGGAAGGGATGTAATCCCTATAATTGTATATGAGAGGAGATTTGGTCTGTGAGGCAGTCTGTTATCAACAGAATGAAAAAAAAATAAAAGCAAATCCTTGATATAGATTTTCCCTTTTGAGAGTTCTTGCATAGTTTCCCAGTAGACTATAATACCTTCTAGTGCAGGTGTTTTCAACTGGGGGTATGTGTACCCCTGGGGGTACTTTGGAAGGCCCTGGGGGAACATGGCAACAGTGCCTTGAAGCTGGTGGTACTTCCAGTTTTGCCAGTGGAGCTCCAGTTTCGCTGCCACACGCTGCACAGCCCTCCCCCCCACCACTTACCCTGCTTGTTGGCTGGCCGCCAGGGGACTCCCTGCTTCTCAACCAGCTGCTGGGGGTACACTGGTGAAAAAGGGTTGAAAACCCCTGTTTTAGTGCAATTGCTTTTTGTCACTCCCTTTTCTCTTCTTTGTTTAAAAAGTAAATTTGCAGAACTTGCTAAAAGGCTTAGAAACTGCTGTTTGATACCTGCCTGGTGATCATTTTCAAGTTACGAATCACAACTACGGGAGAGGCAAAATTTGTAGTGTCCATACTTTGTGTACTTAGAAGTAGTTTGTCTATGAAAAGAAGAAATGACTAGAGGGCAAGTTCTCAGGATTCTCCAACAAAGAGCAAGGTGAAGGTGCATGTTTTGGGATAACAATCAGTCATCACCCAAGGGGAAGAGGAGACTGCTTGTTGCAGCCTGCTACGAATATTGTATTGTAAATGTCTCACTGTTTAACACATGAAAAGATTGGTGGAATTTGCATAGAAAACTGGAGAATATTTATGAGAAACACTTCAGACAGACAGTCTGAAGGCCACAGCACTTTCATTGTCCGTGAACCTGCAAAATGTGACTTGCCTATCTTAAAGACAGACAGACAGACAATAATTATCACCAGGGATCCCAGTTTTCTCCGATTAAAAAAAAAAAATCCCCAATTTTCGGATTAAAAAAATAACTCAAAATCCACATTTTCCCATGATTAAAATGAAACACCACTAATATATAGATATATATGTATAGTGGTGTTTCATTTTAATCACAGAAAAATGTGGATTGGGTTACTTTTTTTAATCCAAAATTTGGGATTTTTTTTTTATCGGAGAAAACTAGGATCCCTGATTCTCACCAATGTGTTTTGTAACTTTTTACTCTGTTTTTAGTAGTAAATAACCTGTGGTAGGCTGCTTACTTTTGTCATTCCCTTGCATTGGGTTGTCATTCCCTTAAGTGATTAGTCATAGAATCATAGAAGTAGGGTCAGAAGGGACCTTGTAGATCTTCAATAATCTTCAGTTATCTTTCTTGATAAAAGACTTGGTGCTCCATCCTACTTCTAATGAGCAAATAAATTGGAACCTCCAAATGAACAACAATAGAGGTAGGGATCCCATTACACTGTTTATTGTAGAAATACATATCCTGAGATGGTCTTCTCTTACTTTTGCCTCGCCAGAAAGGACTTTGCAGAAAGCAAACTTTCTGAAATTCCACACTACTTATTTTTTTCTGTAATCTTTCTAATGTGAATGGGTTTTTTTTCCTATACAGAAGCTGTGTCAACCTCTGCATATAGGTGTTGGTATATTGTCATTAACTTGTCAGATGTAATCTGGACAATTCCATGACAAGCTTAGATTGCTTTAATAGTTCACCTCAGCTTTGACCTACATGGTATATATAACCTGTCCTGGGATAAGGTGGTAATTAGATTTTAATGTTGGCTAATCCTAAACACTATTTGGATGCAGGGAGGTACATGCTGCCTTGAAAAGTAAATGGGGGCAGCTGAAAAAGTAGTTATTAGTTTACATATGGCAAGAATATTTATTTTTCTAGGTTGCTTGCACCATTTATAAAATTTGAATCTGATTCTTTCCATTGAAATTGATACCATGTAGTACCTGTCATATTATGATGTAAGTGTGAATGTGTATTGTTAGTACATGCATCTGCACTGCATAGCATACACAGACATATCCTCATACTCACACCCACACATATGTACACCCATATGTTTGGAACAGATTTAAGTGATAATGACACACCAAAAAGTCCTGAACCACGTGCACATTCCATACAGTGACTGCTTATTTTAAAGCAAACTTATGAATGTTTTCAGGCAGTAATTGCCAAGTAAATGCTCATCTAATAGCTGCTGATATCATTGTACTGTAACAATTTGTTGTGGTAATATACTGTTCCCTGAAAATCTTCAGAGAACATCAAGTCCTATAGAACACAATTATGAGGGTAAACAGTTGAAATACAGTATGCATGCACAATTCAGGGAAAGGTTCCAAAGTGTAATTCTATCATAAGCTACTTTAGCAGTACAGTAAACAAGGGACTGTGGCTGGCCAGGAAAGGCTATATCTGGAATAATTAATCAATAATTCTTTACAAAAAATGTTACCAGCTATAAACAATTTACAGCCAAATGCCTTACAGCAATGCCAAATATTATAACTGCAATTACACACACACACACACACACACACACTTGTGTGTGTGTGTGTATGTGTACGTACTATACATGTAGACTATACTGGATTATATATGCATATATAATATATACACACGTATATATACATGCACATGTGTGTATACATATATATGCTTTTATTTATATATATACACACACACACACACACACACACACACACACACACACATACCTACACACACACACACAAGGGATATATAAAAAACCTAGTATAGTCTGAAGTAAAAACAAACTGTAACATAGCATATGAGATCTTATGATTTGTATGTTAAGAATCTATGATTTATAGGAGATTCTGGTGTGGCAGACAGTGAAAACTGGAAAACTAGAATCCTGAAAATGTAAACTGTATTTTAATGGTGGAGAAGCTTTTATAACAAAAAGCACAATACAATGATTAATTTATAATTATTCCTATTCCCACCCCCGCCAGGAATGGAATACTGATCTTTTTCTTTCCCCCAACTGTTTTAAGTGTTTTATTTGCATACTGGATAATCTATGGGATAACTTTTAATCTATGGGAATTTTTTAGTTTTTTTTATCATCAGAAGGATTAGTGATCAACTATTAATATGAAAATTCGACTCTATCTATAAATCATAGTATATTAAAAATGAAAAATAAAATCCACAATTTTTCTTCTCTCTTTTAGGAAAAACAACTTAGATTATTAAAGCTGAAAAAAAATCTAAAATTGTAATTTTTTTTTCTGAGTACCCCTTGGAGTTTATGTTTTAGATTCTTTGCAATTCTCCAAGCTCAGACAATGAAAACAGACCTAACTGTTAGGCAACTGATGTTCTGCCTGACCATTGTAGTCAGTTTGTCATATTCACCTGCTGTGGTGCATGTTACGATTAGGCTAAGTACAGACAACCAAAAAGCAAAAGGCTGAATCAATTCAATCTCTGTGGGTTTCATAGATTTCATAGGTTTTCATGGTTGGAAGGGACCTCAGTAGATCATCAAGTCTGACCCCCTTCCCTGGGCAGGAAAAAGTGCTGGGGTCAGATGACCCCAGCCAGGTGTATGCTAAGCTGTGTAGATTGAACAGTTAAGCAAGTGAACAGACATTCACTTTTGATTCTGGAAACGCAGCCACATGCCTGCCTGCAGTGGCCCAGGCCAGAAGCTGGGGGTGCTAGAGCATGCCTTCCTGCTTGGCTGTAGCAGACAGCTTGGGCCAAGGCTTGGCCTCCCACCCTGTGAGTGGGGGATTCTGGGGGAGGTGCAAAGCATCATGGGATGTGTGTGTGTGGGTGGTGGGATTGTGAGTTAACTTGAATGTGGAGGGGATCTGGGACAGAAGTTCAATAAACTGATTTAACCTAAATCAGTCAAGTCTGATACTACATCCATCCAGGTTTATCTTAAACCAGTTTTGGCCATTTTGAAAGCAGTTTATATGCTCCAAACTTCTGTGGTATTACAGATTTGAACCAGTTTCCGATCACTTATGCCAGTTTATGTGTAATTTCTGTCCCTAGCCTTAGAGTATAAGTACTTCAAGGCAAGGTCTATCATTTCCGTTCTGTGGTTTTATAGTGCTTATCTCCTTTTACAGTAAGAGAAAGGAGAAGGGAGGCTTTGGCAGCACTAAAGGTCTGTAGATCTAAGATAGAGTCCATTTTATTGTATGGAGCAGAACTATGGGTTACTAATGACTCATTTAAAAATAGAAAAAAATTCTAATTATATTTTAAAGCAGCTTTTATCTCTGTCACATTCTACAATGGGAGGTCTTATGTGATCTGAAACAGCTTAGTGTGAGCCCTTCAGCTTACTTAAGAACTCTAAATTATTGGGTAAAAATTAGAGCTTGTACCCCTATCAGATACCCTAAGAAATGCATTTTAGAAGCCTCTCCTCTTCCAAATATGCCCTTATCTGGATGGTCAAATTACATTGTTTTCTCCTCCAGACAAATGACATGGTAAATGTGCTGACAGTTACTGACCCAGTATCTCTCCTATATTTAAAACAAGAGGTAAATTTAAGAATTAAAGATAGCATCATGCTGAAAGATTTGCAGGCAGTGAGACTTCTTTTTTGAGATTTATACAGCACTTTTCTGGTTTAGACAATTATCTATCTCCAATACAAAACTGCAACCAACAAAAGGCCATTACTAGACTGCAATTCACTCTAATGAGATATGCAGTTGTCATGGGGAGGTGGTGTCAGACCTCATACACAGACAGGATATGTTCTTGCGGGAAGGACAAAATAGATTACTTAAATCACCATTTGTGGTCTTGCTCAGTCCTTTAAGAAATAAGAGGAAAATGAATCTCTCCTTTAGTGGAAATTTCTAAATACTGGGCAAGTGAAGAAAAATCAAGTTGGCTTCTTTCTAACAATTTACAGCCCATCCTATGCTCCCTAGGTGTATTTGTGTTATTTGTACAAAGAATAAGGGCCACAGTCAAATATAATTTCCTGTTTTTAATTTTTTACTCCATTTTATATACTTTGATTTTATCTATTTTTGCATCATTATGTACTATATTCTACTTTAATTTTGTTTAAATTGGCAGAATATGTAATTGTACTGTTTGGGTTGGTCTAATAAAAGATATCAAATTCACCCAAGGAACCTTGTCTGCCTATGTCCTTAGACCAACACGGCTACAACTTACACCCCTGCAACATGGAAGATGTCGAATTCAGCCGTCTGAAATGGACGAAGGGTTTTTGAACCTGAAAGCTTACTTAATAACTATTCTCCAACCATTTGGGTTGGTCTAATAAAAGATATCAAATTCACCCAAGGAACCTTGTCTGCCTATGTCCTTAGACCAACACGGCTACAACCTACACCCCTGTAATTGTACTGTATGCTTTTACCAATAACTGTAAATTATATATTTTTATTGTAGACAAGGTTCTTTGGGTGAATCTGATATTTTTTATTAGACCAACTTAAATAGTTGGGGAATAGTTATTAAGCAAGCTTTCAGGTTCAAAAACCCTTAGTAAAGAAGCCAGAGGCTAGGCTGGTATGCATGCAAAGCCTGTCTTGCATGCATACCAGCCCAGCCTTTGGCTTCTTTACTATTCATTCCATCCAGGAAGAGCACACATCAACTGCAGAGGCATCCTCAGCCTGATGAAGGGTTTTTAAACCTGAGAACTTGCTAAACATTTTTTCCCCCAACTATTTAAGTTGGTCTAATAAAAGATATGAGATTCACCCAAGGAACCTTGTCTGCCTATGTCTGTAGACCAACACAGCTACAACCTTCACCCCTGTATACTTTTATTGTCAATTTTACTGCTGTGTTTTAGCAAAAGCTGTAAATAAACTACTGCTACAGAGCCTATCACAACAATAGGCCATGACCCATGACTGTGGCCCCAAAGTGCTATTGCAATACAAATAAATAATGATTTAATCCAAATCTTTGTTGAGGCAAATTTCCTTGTGTTTTTCATGTTTCAATACCTGGGTTGCAAAAACAGGAAGAGATTTTTTAAAACCAGTTTAATGGGAATTCTGGGTTTGCTTTTATTTCTTTTTAAAATTTAAAATATTTACATTTATATTGGCTCTGAGAGCTGCTCTAATTAAAGTGTGCAGAGCGCCTCATGTGTCAGCATTCCCGAGCTTAAAAATGGCAGTGGGAGCAATTTATTTAAAGCTCATTGGATGAGCTTTAGATAAAGTGCCCCCACTGCCATTTTTAAGTGTGGGGATGCTGATACACGAGACACTGGAGGCTGCTGGAGCACAGTAATTACCAAATCCAGCAGACTCAATTAATTGAGACTGCTCCGACGTGCTATAATTACAGTGCATCAGAGCAGCCTCACTGCTCGTATATAGGCACCCACAGTATTTGAAAGTTGTTTTGCATTGATTTTATTGTATTACATGTACAAGGGAAAACTGAAATGAGGTATAATGTTCTGACAAATTTGAGTGCCATGCTTGCTGCTCAGAAACACAGAAAGGAGCACTGTTAGTTGGCTGAAAGTACTTAAGGTTGGTAACTGTTTTACCAGATCTCTAGGTAAAAATGCCCAATAGAGAATTGTGAGGTGGATGAATAAGGACAATGTACATGTAACAGGTAATGTGCAACTAATTGGTCAACTGCACAATTACCCTGAAACCAGCTACATATGCAGATTAGCTATCACATGATAAAAAGCTCCAACCAGCTATAAAGTCAGGCCTCAAAAACGTGTACTAACTTTATAGCTGGTTGCTATGGAGCTTTAATTTGCACGTGTAGCAGGGTATCTCCTGCAGCTGGAAGCCTGTCAGCTGACCACATTCCCAGCCAAGGGGTGCAATCCCTGAGCCCTAGGGATCATGGCTGCCTTGATCCCCAAAGCTTGGGGGGTGTGAAAACCCCTGGGCCGACACAGGTTCTTGGTCTTGGCTGTGCCTCACTCTGGTTCCCAGCTGGACGTGGCCCCCTGCAGCTGGGATCTTCCCGCCCGTGAGTGCCTGCTTCTTGCTGATGTAGGGGAAGCCTAGGATTGGGCTCCCCCTACACGGGCAATAAAGTGTGATTGATTTTAATATGCGATCCCACAGTCATGCTTCCTGCCGGGCGTGTGTGACATGGCACGAGGCACAATTATGTGATTCACACTTGTGATCCAACTGCATCTTTACCTGCATGTGTAGAGGGGGCCTAAGTGATTAAGGATCTGCTTGCATCCTATCTAATCCAGTGATTCTCAATCAGGGTGGTGTGGCATTTTGGAGTGCCTCAAAATGTTAGCACTGTTAGGTGTGCAAACATCATTCACAAGATAAATCCAGAGATTTCAAATAGAAATTCATAGTGTTAAAAACACTCTAACCTGTTGTGGTCCTTCAGAGTTCCTTGCAACAGAAGAATTGCTTTATTATTCTTCCTGTAGTAAAAAACAAACAAACAATGGAAATTAAAAGCTGGCATTTTCTGAGGGGTGCCTTAAGTCTAACAACAGGTGCCTTCAGTCTAGAAAGTTTGAGAACCACTGGTTTAACCTGTTTCTAGAAAACATGAGCATAATGGAAAATCTAACCAGCCCAGGTTGAACTATGACTGATTATCTGGCAATGAATAAACATAGCAGTTTGTCAATGTAAATCCATTAGAAAGTGGCATCGGTCCAAAAGAATCCACCCTTAATCTATGTCTGGTACCTTTGTCATTACACAGTGACTGAGATTTAAAAAAAGAGAGAAACAAAATCTTGCTTATCCAATTTAACCGAATGTTCTAAGACTAAATCATCACATTAATTGGAATGTGCCTAGAGCCTTTCCATTAAGGTGATTTCACCTCCTATCCCACTTCAAGATGATAAAATGGCTTTTGTCTTACCATGTCTACACTGTAATTGTGGTTTTAGAAGACCTTAATGTACTATTAGTAGTACTAGTAATAGTACCTAGCTCCTCTAGAGTGCTTTTTCTTTGTTGCAACATGCTTTACACGGGCATTGAGCTGAATATTATTATCCCTGTTGTACAAATGGGGAAATTGCTATTCAGGGAGTCAAAGTGACTGGACTGACATCATGAAGCAGGGCCAATAGAACACCTAGCATGAAACCAAGTCTCCTAAGTTTCAGTTGGGTGTGTCTACATGAGATGCTTTGCTGTGCAGCAGACTAATTTGCTGCCTAGTAAAGTGTCACTGTCTACACGTGCACAGCACTTAGGGTTCAGTAGACTAATTTACTGCATTGCTGAATAGTTCCATCAGATACAAGTGGTATCCGGCAATGCAGTAAATTATTGCGCTTAAATGCATGTGTAGATGGTGACATCAGCATTAGTTTAAAAGCTGGAGGGACCAGCCCTTCCTTCCTTTCATTTAGGTGGGAAAGGATTGAACCAGAAAGCTGCCTCTTTCCTGCTTTTTTTTACAGGATGTTGATTGAAAAGGATGCAGCTAAGCTCCTCTGCTCCTCATTTCTGCTTTCTTTCACAGGGTGGAAGTGAAAAGAGGTATTGTGTCAAATTGAGGCAGAGTATATTCAGTCACATTAATTGCATGTGTACAAGCAATGTGCCTGTTGAGGACTTTTAACTACTAACCCACACAGCCTCCCACTAGTGGATATTGAGGATAATGGGCATATTTGCATTGCAATTACTGTTCATGTTGATGTGTCTGTGCTAGCTTTAAATGAGGGCAAGCTCTTGAGGGCAGAGTCCATCCTTTGTCCTGTGCTGGTACAATAACTGGCACAATGGACTATGATCCAGGTGTTACTGCAATGCAAATCAATAATAATCTAGTCTATGTTAACTTCTAGTCAGATGCCCTTTCGTCTGGGTATTGCTAGCGGTGTCAACAGTGTGGATTGAAATGCCTATTCGAGGATCTGAATAAATACTTGTGTACCTAGCCTGTACTTCTACAGTCTTACTGCAACCAATATGTGAGCTAACCAGTTAAAAGCTATCTTGGGAATGTCCACATGAGCAGCAATGACTACAGTGTATACATACCCAGTATAGCTGTGGCAGTAAATATTTTAAACAGCCTTTAAATCATAGAAATCAAAGACTTTTTCTCTCATCACCTCTTTGGAAAATGAACATTTTCTATGTTGTGCCACAGGCTAGATTCTCTTTTATGCTGCTGTAAATTTAGTGCTAGCTTGCATATGTCAAAAGGGTTATAAAAGTGGTGGATTGTCCAGTTGAGGATAACGGGAGCATAGCCTATGCCACTTCCTAGCCTTCAGCATAAGGGTGAATCTGAGATAAGGGAAGGTAGTCACACTGTCACAGCATTCCAGCAGTCTGTGGCTGATATAATGTCCCTTTGCAACTGTAGCCAGCTGTGGCAGGGCACTGCAGATGCCTGCCACTTTAAGGGCCTGGTGCTGGCAGCCACCAGGTGCCCGATGATGGCAGCCATTTTGAATCTGGGGCTGCCTATATAAACAGGGCAGTTCTGCTGCTGGAGGCCAGGTAATAACACCACCTGGCTGGAGGGCTGCTGGTATCATCTGGAGGTAAGGGAGGAGTTGTAGGGGATGGTCAGGAGGCTCCTAGTCCTGGGTACGACTGAAAATTGCACCCTACCAGGAGTGGGTGGCCTGGTGGGGCTCCCAGTGGTGCAGGAGTCCCCAGGAAATGCCAGGCCAGTTACCACCCCAGTGAAAGGCGGGTTGGGGCGCCTTAACCCCTAGCCTCCACAATCGGGTGGGTTACCCCTTTGTAGGGCCTGGAGGGTGAACCCCAGAGAAAGAGAGTGAGGCCATAGACTCACACCTGTCTGGACTTCCCCTGACTGGTCAATGCTGGGTCCAGGACCGGAAGGGTGGAAGGGCCAGGGGCCCACATCGAGGGATGCCCAAGAGCTGAGGGCCTGGGGTTCCAACTGGCCTGGAGGTGGGCCAGGGCTAGTAGCCAAAGGTCCCGGGGGACCACACCCAGAAGGGGAAGCAGTTCAGGGAGCTATGCTGCCCAGGATGAAGGCAGATTAGGCCGCTGGAATGGAGGGAACATAGAGAGGTTCAACACTAGGATTATGGGGCCCAGTGTGGGGCCAGTGATTGTGAGAACATCTGGATGCCATCTGTGAGGCTTGGGCTGTGGTGAAGGGGAGGAATGGAGCCGCAGATAGTGCCCCCTGGCATCGGGGCAAGAAATGGGCAGCCTCCTGCTTATTAAGATCAATTAAACAGTTAACAACAAGGCGTGGCTGGTGAGAAGGCGGGCAGTTATTCCAGAAACATGTGGGCAGGCCACTGGGAAGTCGGCCCTGAGCAGGTCCCCTGTTACACCAGCCAGCCAGCCACCCAACTATAGCTGGGAGAATCTAAGGCTGCTGTAAACTGCAGAAAAGCCTGACAGTGAAGAACCAGCTGTCAAAATTGTTAAGTCACAAATGGCTCACTTTTTGTCATATCCCTTCCAGTGATACACTGTGAACATGGGATGCACATCAGAACTCGGCCCCATATGTTGAATAGGATGTGAAAACAAGTTGTACTACAGCCCAGCTGAGAGAAGTAACCATTTGCTCTCCATATCCTATCATGCCAATGAAAATGGAGAGGCTTGAACAGCTGACTGTTCCATTCTGTAAACCCCAAAAAGGAAGACTAATGTTCTTGAAGACCTAACAGGCCATCCCACAACCTGAGTTGTATAGGGTAATCCCCATTGCGATAGGATATTGTTCCTTGAGTGGTAGTCTTTTACTGCCACCCTACGTACTTCAAAGTATCCATGACTGCAACGAGAGGGATCTAGTGCTAATCGGAGAAGTCTGGAATGTGGGAACTCATTTGGATGAGTTTAGCTCCTTCTCAGCTTGTATGCATCTTTTTGGTTGACACAACCGGTCTTTTCAGCAGGCTTAACCTTACTCCTAGCAATGCTCTCTACATATCAAGAACAACTCTGGTTTGGCTATTTATGACAGGAGCAATTGGAAATGATGGGGCAAAATTCGGCATAAGCCTTTGAAAGTGTATGTGCTTTTTAAAACATGTTATTTAGCTATGTTGTAAATGCTTACACCAGAACAGGAGATCCCTTGAGGCTTGGGAGATATTTGCCCTGGTTGGGCTCCTTCTTAGCCTGGGCACTGAGGAACGTCATATGGCCTGTTCATGGGGTACTTCCCTCAACTTGGCCACCACACCTTGATCTTCAATAAAAGGAGGGTCCTAGGATGGTACTGACAACCCCTATGGGCACACTTGTGTTGTTGGTGTTCTTGGAACTACACCCCATCCACTCGTCAACCAAGATCTGGCTGATGTCAATGGTCCTGTCCCCAGGTTTACACGGCCTGATGCCTCTGGCCCATTCCAGGGCTTTAGCTGTGTCAGGCCCTTAATTAATTCTGGGCCTTGGAATTTACTCTCGATTGTGCTGAATTTATGAAGCCTTAATCAAGCTGCATCATCAGTTTCATTTGCAGGTTTTCCAAAATTAACACAGTCTGTAATTAAGTCGTGGTTGATCTTAAATCAATACAGTTGCTAATTAATTCATAGGCTCTCCTAAATAAATAAAATTCAAAATTAATTCATAATCGGTGTCAATCAGGTCCCAGCCTTTAACTAATTCCTGGGTGTTCAGCAGTCTCTGTTTCAATTAATTCCCCTGCTCAAATCAAACAGTTCGGCCTGCCTTACTTTCGGGTCTGGGGTTCATTACCCACCTCAAATATCCTGCTGTTCTCCAAATTAACAGTGACCACCTCTTTAAAGGACAATGAAACTCAAAGGAATGACGTCTTTGCCATGCCCGTATGTTGGGTCATGGCAGCTGTCACACTCACGTGTTCTCTGTTTCAATGTCAGCATGTTGGGGTCCATGAGGAGCCTTTTTTCAGGCTGCCCTGGTTTGCTAGATGGTTGGATACCCCTCCAGGTTTCCAGACTGGGGACGGGGTTCCTTACCACTCTCAGTGTTGCAGAGTTTGATGCAGCTGTGGTACTCTTCCCCCCCAGTGCTTGAATCTGCTCACTTTTTTCTAGCTGGCTCTGGGCATGGGTCTGTGATGTGAAATCCTGAGTGCCCTCATAGCCTCAGAGAGCAAGTGCTTATAAACCATTGCAGTGGCACTGCTTGCTGCTCCGCTTCCACCGGCTCCATACCTGTGGGTAAGTACTGGCCATTTCCTGCCCTTACCGGGCATTCTGCTGCATTCATCCAGTGTCCTGCCGTGCCTCCTGGGTCCCTCCTACGTTGAGGTTAGCACGTGTGGTGTGCCCTGCTGTTACAAATGCATTTAAATATGCTTTATTACCTGGAAAATCATTTAATTTCTTCCCTTTACCTTTTATTAACTGTTTGACCCTGATGCTTTCAGTTACAATATGTGGACAGGAACAAGTGTTACATGTTTATGATATCTACAAGCTAAAGAAAAGTGCATCCTTAACACTGTGCAAAAGCATGAAAGTTGTTTTTATTTTTAAGTGGATCTCACTAATACTGTTGAATACTGTTGAATAGTAGATTCAATTTGAATCTACTATTTTTTTGTAATAAAGAGGATCAAAATGTAGCCCCCTCCACAAAATAAACAAAACCAGAATAGGGAAAATATGTTTGGGTAGTGGGTTGATAAAATTAATTGTTTATTGTATTACTTTTTAGGTGTCCTTTCAGATGCTGTCTTGATACAGAGCTCAGTCATATTATTTTCTAAACAAAATTTATTTAAGCAACATCTTTAAACTGTAGCTTACATAACTAACAGCGGAACAAAACTTGGAGATGCATATATTTGCCTAGAATTGATATAAAATACTTGTCAGGTGAAAATAGGCTCTATAACAAGATCCTATTCTTGATAAGAAATTGTGTGAATGCCATGCAAATATTGTTAAATGGTGTGAGTCTCAAATATCACTAAGCTAGCATCTATTGCCTTAAATACCTGCCCTTAAGGTATAGTGACAAGTAGAACACCTTGAGGGAGAGGGAATAGATACCATGCCAGCATGTATGAATAAGATGATAAAACCTATTTGCATTAGGTCCCATCTACTAAAACTAAGAAAATCTATACCAAAAAATTGGCAGATTGCCCTTTTCTATCTGACCTCCCTGGATCAATGATCAAATTTACTTGTATAAGGAAATGGTGCTATATGCCACTCACCAGTTCCTTCAAAATGTAGAATTTTATCTGATTCTTCAGCTAAGAAAAATAGCTATGGGAATAACAGCCTAACATAAAATCAGCTGTGCATTGTGGAGAGGAGGATGGAAACTTTACCTGATGCCACATAAAATGGAGCTGGTACTTTATAGCAGAGCATTAAATTCTCACTCCACTTAGTCTGACATCAAAGTTATGAATGATATTGGATGTCAACTAATCAGGAACTGGAATGGCAGGATTTAGATTGATAGTCAGAAATAAGCAGAAACCTATGAGCACTGGAGAAGGAAATGAAGAGGGAAATGATTTTACAGGGATTTTATTCCTTAATGAAACAGCATAGGACCTTGATTTGCAGATAAGTTGTATTAGTCTAATAAATACTGTTGGTAAGCAGATGAAAAAGCAGGTAGGACTAAGAGACTGCACAAGGCTGTAAAACGTTGTTTGAGGTTACAGATTTTATTAACTAATGATTTGTTTGGAGTCTGATCAGCTGCTGCTCAAGAAGTAGCACCTCCCAATAAATTATCATCACCATATGTTTCTTTTACATGGCATTTTTTTAAATTTTAATATATTATTTTATAAGGGGGCTATTGTTACCTGTTACTTCCTTTGGCTGGTATGACAGCCATTCTGCTGGCTAGCAATTGAAGAGTTGCTCAGATTACTGAGTCTGATTTATGTTCTTGAAACAGTAGGGTGGATGGAAAAAAATGGAGTAATCTGCCGCAGAACCCAATTGCATCCTTCATAGGCATTGAGTAGCTGACAGCTTTTTATATTAACATCACATTAACACGTTATTGGCATGTACCAGCCAGAAGTTCTTCAATATATTTAGATATAATCCTCTGACAGTCTTACCGGTTCCTGTTCCTAATTATTTACCTGGCATATGATAGGATTTTGTCATCTACTTGTAACCATTAACATTTGCTATACTGCTTAAATCATAAACATTGAAAACAATTGTCTTATTGAAAGCCAATACCTTCCTGATTTTCAGACACTATGGTAAGAGACACTATAAAAAATGAATCGGAGTAAAATACTCAACAGGATGCTGTTAAAGCTAGTAAGCCAGAAATTAATTACAATAGCATGTTAAAATAGAGTGGGTAGTTTGGCTTTGGTTTCCAGACTTGTGCATGTCATGCTACCTGCAGGTCAAGTTAGCTACTCTCTGTATAACAGGAAAGAATCAATGCTCTCAAATGATTTAAGAGCACAGTCAGTATTTTATTCATTCCTTTGGCACTTGCTATATATATTTTTACATACACAGAAAAGAATCACAACACTCTCAGTGAACAGTAGGTTCTTCTAAAGGAAAGCTTGCTCTTTTATGCTGTTTCAGAATGCCTGATTTAGTTGAAGGAATTATACACTTTTCTTGTATGATGAATGGAGGATATTTTTTTAATTAGTATGTTTAGGATATAGGACATAACATTTTGAGTTGTTAGTTTAAGCAAAAAATTGGCACACAAAAGGAACAATTTTATGAAAACCAACAATCAAGATGGAATTGAGACTTGGAGCTCCTTCCAGTTGCCCCAAATGCTCCACCAAGAATAATCTGGATTAGCTGTTAGTATAGTGGAATATCTTGATCAGGTTCCAAGATGCTAATTTGTTTCGTTCTATAGTTTCCTGCCACTGGTAGAGATCTATGTAGAAAAATTGTCTCTGTCTGGTAAATTACCTTCTGAAGCCACAAACTCCTGAAGAGTCATCCAGGCCTAAAACACATCTCTAAATTAGAAAGATAGCAATAGGTCAGTTTAGAGCATTAACTTCCTTTCTTTAAAAATAAATGTTTCATTATTCCTGTTAGTTTTCATAAATAAAATATTAGAAATAAGCACTACCATAAATTGTGTGCAACTTGAAGTGTATAAACTTGTACTAGTGAGCTGGAATCAGCAACTCGAACAGATTTTAACTTTTCATAAGGCTATCCAGGTTCATAAGACTTTAACTTTTCATAAGGGTATCAACACTTCAGCTAATTATACATATTAGTTTCATAAGTATTGTTTGTTAAGCTACCTGTGATACATTCAATATTGTTGTAATCACAAATAAAGTCAATTCTTGCTGTAAGAAGCTCATATTTTAAAAGTTAGGTTCATAAAGACAAGTATTTACTAGGTGTCGTAAAGAAGGTATTAAATTAAAACCTTATACATTCTTCTGCTCTCTTGTATAACAGTGATGAGGGGGACCGTATCAGCTGGGTAATATATGTTTATGCTGAGAGGAATTACAATACTGGCTGTATCACAGAGGTTTGATTTTATATTCAGTAGATCAGGACTGTCCAATTTCTAAGCATCTGGGTTCCACAGGCCACATGGGCTGCACACCTTAGGAGTTGTGCTAGTGAGAGCCAGGCACCCGAGCCAGAGGCAATGTGTGCATGGGCAGCCACCTCCACCTCTGCACTGTACCCTTTGCTGCTTGAGCTGGTGGCCCTCACCTCAGCTCCTTGGCTGAGGGCTGTGCCGGCGCTGTGGGTTGCACTACTTTGCTCCCCACAGTGGGAGTAGGCAGCAAAAGCCAGAGGGAGAGATGGGGAGCCTGGAGCCCAGGATGCTGCTGCAGTAGGACTCATGGGAGGAGCAACGATGGGATGGGAGCCTGGGGGAAGGTATTGTGCAGTTTAATCTCTAGTGGGCTGTGCGTGGCCCATGGACTGCTAGCTAGACAGCTCTGCAATGGATTAATTCTACAGATTTTTAAAAATATATTTTTAAATAATTGCAGTTATTGCAGATCACTCAATAGTGTAAAGATGAAAAATTGGGTTTCATGGCCGCACTGATACCCATACCTCAGGATCAGTTACCTAATCTAAAATGACAGAAATCAAAAGCAACTATTTAGAAGCTGAGCTATGTGGGCAGAGATGTTTCTCTCATGACTGGATGAAACCCAGGGCTGGGTACATTTTGATGGAGGTATGTGAACAAATAAGCAGATGCATCCAGAAACAGACAGACAGAAGTAGCAGAAGGCCAGAAGAGTACTTGCGGCATGGCCCTGAAAGAAAGCTTAGAGAAATGCTGGCTGGTAAAAGGCTTGGAATCGTGAGCTACTTCTTTTTGCATAAGCCCTTGCATGTTGAGGGAAACAGGACTGTGTATGTGTTCATTGTAAGCAAACAGAACTACGTCAAAGGATTGCTTGACATCATCAACGTATCTTCTTACAAGGAACAACCACAAGTCCCTGTTGATTGGCTCACGCTTAGGCCAGAAAGGGTCAGCTGCAGCACAAGGGAGAGCTACAGCAAATGCTTTTTTTCACTCCTCAGTTGTCACTACCCTCTCCAGAACAAGCCTAAATGCCTTCAAAGGAGAATCCATTTTTAAAGTTTGTTTGCGACCCTTTCATATACTCTTGCGACCCACTTTTGGGTCATGACCCATGGTTGAGAAATGCTGGTTTAGGAGCCAGGCTTGTGTCAAGGAATGGCCACTCTCTGGCCACTGCTGGCTGGGAGGAGCTGCCTGCCAATCAACCCCAACGGCGCTGCCACCTCAACCCAGTGGCAGCCCCCATCTGGGTACAGCGTCTGGCCCTTGAAGCAGAGAAGGGCGAGCAGAGGAAGGAAAAAAGGGAGGAACCTGCCTGGCTGCCTAGCACTGGGCCAGCTGACAGGGACGACTGGCTGGTCCTAGGGCAAATTAAAAGCTCCCAGGGAGGCAGGGTTCAAATTACACTCTTGTGGGGTCTGCGGGGGTGGAAGCTGGAAGGAGCTGCTGGCACTGCTGCCTGAGCTCTCATTTTTGATGGGAGGGCTCTTATGGGGGCTTAATACCTCTCCCTCCCCTCTCCCCCTCCCATTCCCCGAAGTCCCCCGAAAAACCCTACAGGGAGGGCAGCTGAGAAACAGGAGGCTGGTACACTGAGGGAAAAACATACAGCCTGGGTTGCAGATCCCTCTAGGTCCTGAGATTGCACAGGCAGTCCTTGACTTATGATGCAATTGGTTCCTGAAAACCACATCTTCAGTCGAAACATCGTAACTCAGTACTTTTTAACAATGTTATAAATGGGGGATTGGTTCCTGAACCAAGGCCCGAGACCCTAT